AGAAATAAATAAAAAAAAGGAGAAAAATAAAATAAAAAAGAAGAAAAAAGGACCAAAAGAAGTAAGTTGTAGGAGAAGAGTAGCAGCACGTGGTGCAGTTGTTCTGCCTGATGGTGAGACAGCAGGCCCCTTATTATTAACAGCAGCAGCAGCAGGAGCAGCAGGAGCAGCAGGAGCAGCAGGAGGAGGCACAGGAGCAGCAGCAGGTGCAGCAGGATCAGCAGAACTAGATGCTTATCGTGCTGCAGTAGCAGCAAACCAATTAAGAAGAATAAGAGGAGGAATAAATAGCCGCAGCAAGACAGCAGGAAGCAGAGATCCGCGCTTCTCCTCTTTATGTGGGGAATTTAATGCTGCTGCATGCGCTAAGGCTTATGCATTTATAGATGAGCAGCAGCAGCAGCTAATTAAGCAGCTGCAGCAGGTAACAAAGACAGGTAGATTACCTAAAATAAATAATAATAATAATAGCAGCAGCAGCAGCAGCAGCAGCAAGAAAGGGCGTAAAGCTACAGCAGAAGAAAAAGAATTAGCTAAGATACAACTGCAGCGGCTGCAGTCGCAGCAGCAGCAGCGGCAGAGGAAAGCAGCAGCAGCAGCAATAAAAGCAGCACATAATAAGGCAGAAAGGGAGAAGATAGCAGCAACAGGAAAGAAACCTCATTATCTGAGTAAGAAGAACTTACGTCTGCTGCTGCAGCAGCAGCAGCAGCAGCAAATGTCAGGAAAGAAACAACAAAAACAAGAAATAAAGAAAAGAAGAAAACAATTAGCAAAAGAAAGAAAAAAAGGATTTATTCCTACAAGAAGAAATGTAGATACACAAGAAGAATAATTTATATTATTTATTTTATACGTTTTATTTTTTTATATAAAATTAACTAATAATATTTTAATTCATATTACTATTATTTATAATTAATTAATAATTAATTAATTAATTAATTAATTAATTAATTAATAGTTAGTTATTAGACTATTTCGTTTTCATTTTCTCCTTTGCTGCGGTGTACGTACACCCACTTCTTGCCCCTTTGCCTCCTGTTTAGCCGAGGATTTAGGGTTTAGGCATTTTAGGGTTTAGGGAATGGAGGAGGATATTTATTTACATCTAATCATGACAAAAACAAGCAGCAGGTGCTGCAGTCTTTTTCTTCAGTAATCTTCTGGTCTAATATTGTATAATGTAGTATAGTACACGCATGTACATATGTATGTATATATAGATGTATATAGATACATATATGTCTGTAGATACAAAATTGTACAGATAAATGTGTATATGCACATATATAAATGTATATATTTTCCTCTTAGAGAAAATACTCTTTTTCTTGTGCTTACCTTCGTTTGTTTGCAAGAAAATGCAACAAATTACTCTATACTGGTAATATTCAACTAGCCGAGGTTTCCACAAGAATTCATGAATAAAATGGACAGAAAAAGGAAAAGCAATTTATTATTATATTTACATTTATACTAAATTTACTACTCGTTTTTTTGGCTTTTAACTCTCCCCTCTCCCCTTTTAAATGCTGATTTCCTGTTTCCTTATCATCAGCTGTACGAACTAGAGCACTAAACTGCAATTTTGTATGACGAAACCGAGAAACTTTGCGCTAAACTATCAAATTATATCTTTTTGTTAAATATTATTATTTAAAAATATTTTAAATATAATTATTCATAATTTTTAAAGTATTTTGATGTATAATACAGACGATTTCAACTTCTATATGGAAAGTTCATAAAAACAAATATTGGGGTGTATAGGCAGCGCAGATTCAATAATTCAAGTTTCCTCTTCCTCTGTTAGATCATTTCATTCATACTTTATAATTATACTCTGACTGTTTGTTTATATTCTTCTTGTTGCTTATTTTTATGTCTTTCTTCTTCATTGCTTCCTTACTAGGGTTGTGTTAGTGGTGATAATACCGCGGTCTTCATCCACACTCCGTAAAAGGAAAACGAAGGAAACGAGGACAAATAATGCATTTTTTTATACAATTTTGGCCAAAAAGACTAACTAATCTAATAATAAACTAAAAAGAATTAATCCAAGTAGAAACGTTTCTCGTCCCATATGCCATCAGCCCTTTGGGTTTCTTGTACAACAACCCCACCTCTTGAATCGGCATACCGCCTGTAGTACCTGGTAAGGAGACTTTTATCTTTTTTTACTCTTATCCTTCCTATTTCTTCTAAATCACTATTTTTGAGTTCCTTCTTCTCTTTTTTAACGTTATCTTGTGCTGCTGGTGCTGCTCCAGCAGCAATGGTGTGTGCATAGGGAACAGGAAGCCAATTTCTTTTGTACCCGAGTGTTCTGCTACATTACTGCTTTCTTCCTTCCTCATTTTCTGTTGTTCATTTATTTTTTTTCTTTATAATGCAACGACAAAGGCGTTGAATGCCCCACCTTTGAATCGCATGCGCTGCAGTTGCTGCTCGTGCTGCCGCTGCTGCTGTTGCTGCTGTTGCAGTTTAAGTGGCATTCTGAATTAGCAACTGCAGCGTGAGGGTAAAGATGGATCTGCCTACAGTAAGCAGCGTGGAGGGCAGCGTTGACAGCCGACAGCAGCAGCAGCAGCAACAGCAGCAGCAGCAGCAGCAACCGCAGCAGCAGGCGTTGGTGTCTATGGAATGCGATTCTCCAGCTCTTTCTGCTGGGGGTTGGGATCTAGCGCTACCGCAGCAGCAGCAGCAGCCAAGTAGCAGCATCTCTCAGCCAGCGCATGCATCAGCATTTCCCTGTTCTATTGCTTCTCTCTTTGAAGATGTAACTCAGACGCAGCAGCAGCAGACTGACCAAGGCAATCAGCAGCAGCAACAGCCACAACAGCAACAGCAACAGCAACAACAGCAGCAGGAACCTACAGCTGCTGCTGCTGCTGCTGCTGCTGGTCGTTTTTTCTTAGAATATATTGTCTTAGAGAACTTTAAGTCTTATAAAGGAAGACATGTTGTTGGGCCCCTACAGAGCAGTGTTGCCATCATAGGGGCAAATGGATCAGGTATTTATACCCTTTATTAAATAATTCTGCTGCTGCTGCTGCTGCTGCTGCTGGTGTTTGCTGCAGCAGCACTCCTTATTCTTCTAGCTGAATCTGCTGCTGCATGCAGATACACCCCACAGCAGAATAGACAATTCCCTACTCTCGATTCCGATACCGCAGCCGACCCACTAGGGTTTAGGGTTTAGGGTTTTGGGGTGTACAGGGAAGAGTAACATAGCGGATGCGATTTGCTTCGGTCTTGGAGTGAATGGACGAAGTCTTAGAAGTAATGCATTAATGGATCTAAGGCATGCAGCAGCAGAAGAAGATAATTCATCCCTGTAAGACTCATTGCTGCTGCTGCTGCTGTTGCTGCTGCTGTTAATGTTGCTGGTGTTGGTGTTGTTGCTGCTGTTGCTGCTGCTGGTTTTGCTACTGCTGGTGTTACTGTTCCTGTTGCTATTGGTGCTGCATGCACATTCGCATGCATCACTGTGTCTGCTGCAGCACTGCGGTGTCTCTACACTTCCGTCGTCGTGCTGCTGCTGGATCAGAGGGAGAAATGCTCGTGCTGCGGCGGCAGATCAGCAGCAGCAGCAGCAGCTGTACGTACACCGTAGATGGTAAAAGAGTTACATTAGAAGAATATCTGCGAGTCCTTAATGACAAGTTGTCTCTTGCGCCCCACACTATGGCTGCCTCCTTGCTGCTGCAGGTAAACGGCTTGTTGCTGCTGTTTTGCTGCTGCATCTGCTGCACCTGCTGCTGCTGTTTGCTGGTGCAGCTGCCCTAGCCTGTGCTGTCCTGACTGTTTGCTGCTTCGAGTTTTTGTATCTATCTTTTTCATGTTAGTCTGTAGGCATTTATGGTCATCGAGCTTGCTGCTGCTGCTGCTGCTGCTGCTGCTGCTGTGTGCTGGTTATTCAGGGAGATTCATCTGTAACGGCTGCCGCTCGATCTCCTTTAGAACTCACGCGGCTCATAGAGCGCGTCGGCAGCAGGTGAGGGTTTAGGGTTTAGGGTTTAGGGTTTACGAAGCATGGCAGTCGTAGGAAGGAGAGAGCAGCGTCTAGTGTTTACCTTTAAAGCTGCTGCTGCTGTTGCTCTTGCTGCTTTGCGCTGCAGCGAGGAATGGGCAGAACAGTTCTCTGCTGCAGCAGCAGAAGCAGCAGCGCTGCAATCAGAAGCACGGCAAACATTTAGCAGCAAGCAGCAACTGCTTGCTGCCTTACGAGTGCTTAGAGCGCAGCAGCGAGAGGTTAAAACCTTCAAAGAGATGCAGCAGCAATATGTAAGGGTTTGGGGATTAGGGTTTAGGGTTTAGGGTTTGGCCTCCCAGCAGCACATCCCAGGTGTCTTTCGCTTGTTACTTATGGCTTGAGGTTGAACCGTCCAACAGGATATTATTGCAAGGGTTTAGGGTTTAGGGTTTAGGGTTTAGGGTTTACAATTCTTGTGCCTGTTGATGTTCTGTGTGTTGTGCAGGAAACCCTGCAAGTGCAGGGTTTTGTGTTTCAATTGTTTGCTGCTGAATGCCAGCAGCAGAAGCAGCAGCAGCGAGCACAAGAAGAAACGCAGCGAGCTGAGCACCTGCTGCAGCAGCTGCAGCAGCAACTGCAGCAAGCTGAGGAAGCAGACGCAAAACGTATTTCTATTTCTTTACAACTTGAACAAAAGAAAACACTAGCAGAAAAAACCGCCATGAAGACCAGCATGCTGGTAAACCCTAAACCCTAAAACCCTGTATATTCGCAAACCCTAAACCCTAGAATCCAACCCTTCAACTGTAAACCCTAGAGTAGATCCCTCAAACACTAAATTCAAAGCTGTTAATCCTACACACCAAACCCTAAACCCTAAACCCTTGTTTTCGTGCTGCTGCAGCGCAACGGGCTGACAGAGTGTTTGGAGCGGCTGCGGTTTGCTGAGCAGCAGCAGCAGCAGCAGCAGCAGAAGCTGCAGCAAAAGGAAGAAGAGTGCCGCGCCCTAAAAGCGCTTGAA